GAGAGTATATGAGGTGCACAGCAGCTAAACTTCCTGCTGCAGAGGAACCACAGGACAACAGTAAAAGGCCAATATTGCTGCATCAAGAGCACTTTAGTATCCTGAAAATCAAAAAGGAATCCTATAAAAATGGGAATGAGGGTATAAGGAAAGCTCAAGTGCATGGGGACAGAATGAGAAAGGGTAAGGAATAGAGAGAGTTACAGCCAGTGAGGGGCATAAAAGGCAAGGAAATAAGTTCCAGAAATATACTGGAAGTGCAATGCAAAGAAAAATGTGTCAGCAGTCGTGTCATGTGATGGAAAGAACCAAAGGGATGACACAGAGACACAAACAGCGACTTCCTCACTGTGGCTGCATGGTGCAAGCCTGTAACCAGTGCCCAGAGCCATCACCAGTAATGAGAGACACTCAGTGCACTGACTGGTCAGGAGACAAGAGAAATCACACTGGAAAATTTAAGCAACCTCTGAACAATTAGAAGCAGATTGTGACAAATTTTGAAGGCTTAGGGAATCCTGGGGAAGTGCAGAAAAAGCACTTTTTCTGTGAAAAATATAAATACATAAATAAAGGTAATTAAGAGTTTGGAGAGTTACAGATCAGCCAAGCTGGCTTCAGTTCCTTGAAAAATTTAGGAACAAAATATTGAACAATCCATTTGTAAGTACCAATATGTGATAAAAATAAAGGACAAAAACCAGCCAACACAACTCTACTAGGAAAATAATTATGTCAGGGTGATCTAATTTCCCTCCTTGCCAGGGTATTTGATCTAATGGAGGAAGAAACAATGGATATGATTCATTATGCAAAGCCTCTGGTGCATTCCCAGGAACAGGCAGGGAAGTACAATCTGAGTGAAAAGATGGGAGACGGGTAAAACTGAGAGCAATAGGTGCTCCAAGCAAAGCTGGGGGGCTGAGAGCGGGGGCAAAGGGGAGTGGCAGGGCTGTTTTTGTGGTCTGGATGCCTTTTATTTTCCTACAGTATGACTGGTGGGCATGTCCATGTCCAAACACAGGGCTGACACCTCTGTGGATGCCCAAGACACCAGAGACCTCCAACCCCTGACTGACACTCAGGGTGCCACATTTCCCTTGGGAAGGAGGGTAGAGGCCTCTTCAAAACATCTGCAAGTGAAAGCAATTCCTCTTAACTGGACATTTCAGGTGATGGGAGGTGCATGGCTTTGAGTAAAGCCCTGTTAAATATAGATATAGATGATATAGGTATAGATATAGATATAGATATAGATATAGATATAGATATAGATATAGATATAGATATAGATATAGACATAGACATAGATATAGATAGATATAGATATAGATATAGATATAGATATAGATATAGATATAGATATAGATATAGATATAGATATAGATAGATGTAGATAGATGTAGATATAGATATATGTAGGTCTAGATAGATACAGATATCTATTCAGATGAAAATGATCTATTATTGTTATTTAACTCTGGTTCATGCACTGCAGCCCCACTCTGAAGGCTCCTGGCTGTTAAGGAGTGACCAGCAGCAGTGTCAGCTCTCACTCAGCCCTGGGCAGCACAAGAGGGGCCTCAGTCAGCTGCCCTCCTGCAGTGAGGGGGCATGCTGCAGGATGGAGCTCCCAGTTCAAACCAGTTCAGCACAGACCACCAGGAACCACCCCCATCCCAGAGAGCAGAGGGGTGAGCTCCAGCTCCACCTCCTCATCAGAGCAGACAATTCCAGAAGAGACCCCAAATGCTCCTGTCTGGGCAGCCCCTAACAACAAAAAGTGTTTGAACCCACCCTATGAGTTTTTCTTTCCTCTTTTTTTTTTTTTCTGCCAGGACCAGAGAAAATACCCCATTTTGAGAACAAAATACTGCAGAAAACCAGAATGACACAATCCTGGAGTTCAGTGTCATGCACAGCCCCTCAGCCTGAAGAGATTTGACAGTTTGTACTGGGAAGAGGTGTGATGCTGCAACATTTCTTCAGAGAGGAAAAAAAAGAAAGAAAAAAGGATGGCTTTTATTTTTAGAAGTTTTAGCAGCCAAATTGTTGTCAGGCCGTCTGTGCTCTGCTGAGCAACACACAGTATTTGGCACAGCCAAAAAGAGCTTTCTCACAGAGCAAAATGTCACAATAAAACCAGGTTTCATCAGAATCCCAGCACCCTTCCTGGAAAAAAATTGCCAAATTTTGGACAAACTGTATATTGTTTATCATATTTTTCTGTTGCCAGCATCTGCTTATGGGTGGAGAAATATGAGACTGGACCTGAATTGCTGCTTTATTTGGGAATATACCACATTTCCCTTTGGTGTCCTCTGGTGATGCTGGACAGCTAAAGGAGGTCTGGGACTTTAGTTCTCTTTCATCTTCTACCACCACCCAGCTTTTCCCTTCATTGCTGTCTATCCTTTTCAACTAGAGATGCTTCCAAAAGAAAACAAAACCAGATTCTTGTTTCTCTTTGTTCTCTTGGACATTTGCCCCATTGTTCCAGGGTTTGACACTCTCACAACTGACTCACAGCTCTCTGAGGCTGAGGACCTCTGGAGATGGTCCAGTGCCATCCCTGCTCAGGCAGGGTCACCTAAAGCTGGATTCTCTGGGCTACAGCCCACAGGCTTTTGGATACCTCCAAGGGTGGAGAGCACTGCTCCTCTCATGAGTGGTTTGACCATCCTCACAGCTCTTCCCTGGGCTCAGTCCAGAAAATGGCATCTGTCTTGTACTGGGCAGCACAGCAGAGTGCAGCACTCCAGATGCCACCACGCCTGTCTGTAAAACCAAACCACTAACCCAGTAATTCCTGGCACCAGAGAGCCAGGCTGTGGGAGCTGTGCCTGTCCTGGAGATACACTCAAACATGATTGCAACCACCCCTGTCCAGCTGTGTGTCCAGGCTGGCAGATGGGCACATTGCAGTGTGGCCAAGGGGACTCTTATAGTCCCCTTCCGAAGAAAGGACAGCCCTTGGCCCAGCCCAAGGAGGGTCCTCTGGGTGCCAGAAGGAATCAGGCACATTGCAGGGGTTGTGGGAATTTTGCTGAGCCCCTCCTTGACACCAATAACCACACATGTCCCAGAGAGTATTTGTTGCTTCAGGTTCTTCATAAATGCCAAGTTAGTGTGTGATGGATGGGCTGGGAGCTCTTCCCAGGATCTCTCCACAGCAGCTCTCAGGAGCAGCAGTAAAACTCCATTGCCATCTGAGCCAGGATGAGGTGTCTGGGGGACAACCTGGAAAGGAGCCTTTCTGGGGAGCCCAGGCACTCCTGGGGCAGAGCAGGGACAGAGCTGGTGGACCCACCTTGGTCTTGCTGGGCACTGCTCCACGCACACACCCTTCCTCCTCCCACCCGCTGGACACGTGTGTACCCCAATAAACACCCTTGTCTGCCCAAATCCCCCTGGCATGCACCTCCAGGGACACACACACACACACTGCACAGCCCTGCGTGCTCACCCTGCTCCCCCACCGTCCCCCATGGGCACTGGTGCTGCTGGATGACAGCACGCAGAGGGGGAGGGCTCATTCAGAGAGCTGCCATGCCCTATAGCATATGAACAGGGACAACCCAGATGTCCCCAGCTCACCTGGCCCTCCCAGCACCCTGCGGAGCCCTGGTGCAGGCAGGCAGCGAGGGAATTGGTGCAGCCACCCAAAGGCAGCCTCAGTGCCACCCACCCAAAGGCAGCCTCAGTGCCACCCACCCAAAGGCACCCTCAGTGCCACCCACTCTGGGGCTCCTTGAGGACCTTGTTCAGTCCCCGGCACCTCGCAAATTCCAGCCCCACTATGGGACGCGGAGCACCCCTGTCCACTGTTCACCCTGCTGCCTGAAGAGCCCGGACTCAGGCTGGAGGAGAGGTGCCAGGACACCTCGGCTAGAGAACAGCTGGATAACTAGAGTTTGTTAGAGAAGAGCTGGATAACTGGAATTTTCATGAGAACTGGAGAGCCCCCAGAGTTGTGTTGAGGGAGGGGTGGGGGAAGAGCGGGGCAGAGACCGGAGGAGCCTGCGGGGCTGAGGCAGGAAAAGTTCACTGGAGCAGCCGCTCCCAGAGCGGTCAGAGGCCGGGCGGGGCTGGAGGCAGCCGCGGGAAGGGGCAGAGCAGCGGGACGGGCGCGGGGCCCGGGGCGGCCGCAGCTCGCGGATCCCCGCGGGGTCCCGGGCCGGCAGCGGAGCTGCAGCGCCACCCGGCGGCCGAGAGCGTCACGGCCCTCGGGAGCCCCCCGGGGCAGCGACACCCCCGGGGCAGCACCCCTGGGTGCTCCGAACCCCAATGTCCAGCCTGGCCTTGGGCACTGCCAGGGATCCAGGGGCAGCCACAGCTGCTCTGGGCACCCTGTGCCAGGGCTGCCCACCCTCCCAGGGAACAATTCCTAATTCCCAATATCCCAATCCATCCCGGCCCTCTGGCAGTGGAAGCCATTCCCTGTGTCCTCTCCCTCCATCCCTTGTCCCCAGTCCCTCTCCAGCTCTCCTGGAGCCCCTTCAGGCCCTGCAAGGAGCTCTGAGCTCTCCCTGGAGCTTCTCCTCTCCAGGTGAGCACCCCCAGCTCTCCCAGCCTGGCTCCAGAGCAGAGGGGCTCCAGCCCTTGCAGCATCTCTGTGGCCTCCTCTGGGCTCTCTCCAGCAGCTCCCCCAAAACATTCCACCCAGAGCCAGCCCCAGCCCACCCTCTCCACTGTCCCCTCAGCACAGAACAGCCAGGAACTGCTGACACCACCACATGCTCCACCCAAAATCCTGCCCACGCTTTTCTGCTGTCTCTGGTGGGTGATGTGACCCAAGGAGGGGCAGGAGCATCTACTGAGGATCACTTCTGCTTCATGGTGCTTTGAGCACCTCTGCCCTGGGGCAAAAGCACAGTCGCCTCCCTGGGGATGAGCAGCCCCTTCCTGACCTTGCACAGGCCCTGGTGCGTCTCTGGCCTCTCATCATCCTCTTGATGAAGGAACACAGTCAGAAAAGCAGGGAACAAGAGACCTGCACAGACAGGTTGTTGGAGCTTTATTTCTGTTTCTGGGTAAGAAACACAAATTCATTCTCTCCAAAATCCAGAGGAAAGGAGATGCCACAGTGCTCCCTGGAGGGAAGGAGAGGACAACAACCCCACACCAAATTTGGTGGTGATTTCTCCAAATTTACGGCAAAACACATTCATCTCTCATCTTCAAATTGCATTTTTTACCTTGGATTTGCTGTCTTTATCTTTTTTTGAAAAACAAAACCACCTAGAGCATAAAGACATCTTTTTAGTAACATAAAAATGGTTTAAACCCTTGGAATGAGGCAGATCTAATCTTCTTCTTTCTCCACAGGTGACTTTTGAGGCCTTTGCCCTCAGCACCTGGGGATTTTCTCAGTAACTCATGGCATTCCATGAGTACCATGGGGTCCTTCCTGCTGCAGAGGAGCCCAGGACTCAGCACAGCCCATGAAGGTCCTTCTGCAGAGCTCCTCCAGCCTTGCAGGGATGGGTTGGCACACTCTGGCAAGACCTGAGTGGAAGAATTCACAGGAGTGAGAAGGAGTCACAGCAGTCTCCAGCATGCCCCTTGTTCTAAAGCACTTTCACATGCACCCCAGAGCCAGCACAGACACCGAGTTCTCCTTTTGGTTTCCAGTAGCCAGAGTTTCCACAAGATCCCAGCTCCTCATTTCCATCAGGTGATTTATCTGGGCTGTGTCAGGGTGTTCTGGTGCTACCACAGATGTGCAGTGTCTGCTGTGGACAAGCAGCCAGAGGATCAAAGCCTCTGGGCCACTTCTGGGAGTGGGGTGGGCTGACAGGACAGCCATCCCCATAGGATGTAAGACCACTGCAGCATCTGCTTCCGAAACATTCACAGTTTCAGAGACAAAAAAAAAATTAAAAATAATAAAATGAAAAAAAGAAAACCCAGAGAAAGTCACATGTGGTGGTGTTAACATGATCACTTACATGAGCAGAGCCTGACCTGGCTGGAGCAGAGCTGCAGGGAGGCTCTCCAAAGCACAGAGCAAAAATGTCAGCACAAGGAACAACCTTTGCTGGGTCTCTCTGCCAAGTCTCACCTGGATTTTGTCCAACTTTACCCTTTAGGCTTGAAATTTTCCATCCCAGAATATTTTTCTTTCCAAGTTCCAGTGCAAAGAGCCACAGCCAGAGGAACGAGAAGCTGGAGCAGCTAAATACCCCAAGATCTTCCTGGGGGATGCTGCCTTTCACTGGCAGATGAAGTTTTGGAGAGAGAGCTCACTTCTTCCAGCTGTATCAGCAGCTCTAATGAGAGAAAATAACTTTGGCCTGCATTAAGAAAAAAAAAAAATTGTCATTCCAGTGGAAAGCTGTCATGTTGCCAGCTTGAGGAGCAGGGACTTGGGAGTGTTGCCTTCTCCTATCCCAGAAAATCTGTGGAAATTTGGCTGGTGATGTTGAAAAATTATTGGAGTTCTCAAAGAGTCAAGGTGTGAGTTCTGGTGACAGCTGCCAGCACTGCTGCCCCAGGCCCAGCATCCCCTGGCTGTCCCTGGTGGAGCATCCTCCAGAGCTCTGGAGGAGTTCTGTGCTGTGTTCTCCCCTGTTCTGGGGTGGCTGTCACAGCTGTGGGACAGCAGGAATGGGGCTCAGCAAGGTGAGCCTCCCCTGTGGGTGCCATGGCTTGAATCCCTCTGAGGAGGGATGCTCCCTTTGATACTTCCTTGGGCAAAGAATTTTAAATTACCCATAAAACTTCAACTGGAAGAAACTTTGAATGAGCAAAATGAAACCACACAACCACCAGAGTGAAAGATTCAGCCTTGGGGAAAAAAAAAAAAAAAAAAAAAAAAAAAAAAAAAAAAAAGCATGAAAAAAACCTATGAATAGGTCAGCAAGTATCTACAGCCCATGCAGTGAGCAAGGACCCATGGGTTTGGATGTTCAGGGCTCTCTGAGAATCCGTGGTGCCCATCCCAGCTCTGGGGCAGAGACTGGCTGGGATCACAGGACAGAGCCCAGAGGGGAATGGAGCAGAGGGAGACACACAGACAGGGAGCCTGGATGGGAGCAGATGGACATGGAGAGAGGATCCAGTAGATCTGTCAGGTGGCAGATGGCCTTCATGCTGGCCAGGGAGGGAGGCAGGGCCAGTGCTGGCAGCCACTCTTCCCTCTTTCTCCTTAATTGTCCCAGAGGGCCCCTGCGCTCCCCTCGCCTCAGCTGCACAGAGGTCGTGGTGCTTGTGGAGGCTGGGGGAGCATGGGGCTCTCGAATACCCCTCTCCATCTCCAGGACATGGCAATACACTCCTGACACAAGAACCCAAACTCGGAGAGATGAAACAGCCCCAGAAAATAAATCTATTTTCAACTCTATTTTTTTTCCTCTTTTGAGCCTTTTTGGGATCTTGCACACCCTCTCTGGGACAGAATAAGGGAAAAGTATGAATGCTCCAACAAAGTGTTTGTCCATGTAAAAGAAGAAGGTGGGAAACAACACAAAAAGAAATAAAGAAATAAAGAAAGCATAACAGCTTTTTCCCCCCTCTACACACAGCTCAGGAGCACTAGGGAAAAATGAACATTTTTTCTCCCATTTTGTTCAACTGCCTCTCAGTGCCACATGCTTGCAATTACATACACAGAAAGTTAAGAAGCAAAACCAAGTGACACTTGGAAAAAATAAATATACATCAGCTGTGAGCTGGGAATCGACCTGAACCAGCCTGAAACCTCCTCTGGCCAGGAGCTGTCTCTGGCAGGGACCATCCAGGCTCTGTGGCCACCAGGCCCTCACCAGAGCCACAGCTGACCTTGAATCAATCAGGTTTTGCTTTGAGACAACTCTGTTTCCAGAGGCTCAGTAATTAAGAGCCTATTTTTAGAGAAATGAGCCACCAGATTAATCAATAAGGAGCAGCCAGCTCCTCAAGGGTAAGGGGGGTTGGAGTTGCCCTGCTCCAGCCTCAGGAGCTTGTCCCCAGTCCCAGGATCCTGCAGGGAGCTCTGCCCCATGTCCCCACCTCGCTGGGATCCCCAGGGGCACCCAGGACCTTTGGCTCCATTGGCCTTCCCAGGGGATGCTCCTGGCAGGAAAAGGCTGAAAAAATCAGAGAGGCTCCTTGGGGACATCACCTGGGAGGGGTTTGGGAGGATGACTCTGGCCAGCTGGACTAGGTTCAGGTCTCAGCAGCAGTTCTTGGGGGACAGGAGGGGCACAGCCATCCTCCACCACACACTCCTGCTGTCCCTGCCAGGGCTGGCTCCTTCTGCCTCCCACCATCTCCTGCACACCCCTGGTCTGCCCAGGAAGAAGAGCCAAGCATCCCCTTTCCTGGGAATGTTCCCCCAGCACGAGGTGTTCAAATCATTTACAAAGGGCTAAAATAGAGCTGGCTCCCTTCCAGGCCCTCTGGCATCCAGGCTCTGTAAACAACTCACCCACCAACGGAGTCAGCTGGGAAAAAAGGCTTTTCATGTCCATTCCCCAGGCCCCACTTCCACAGAAACCTTCCAGCATGATCCTTTCTCAGCTGTAAGAGCAGCAAAATTGTTTCAGGTCTTCACTGATGTTCCTTTTCTCCCAAGCACACTTGTGGACATCTCACATGACTCCCTTCTGCCAGTGGATGGAAAAAGAGAAGGACTCCCTGCAAAGAAACAATAAGCTGGTGTGGCAAGTCTGATGTGCCTTTCCCTGCCTTGGATATTTCCTAGGTTCCATTTCAGAGGCAATTTGTTTTTTAATAGCATTGACCTTTATGGAGACAGGATTTCACCTGGGTGTTTTCTCTTGGCTGCTGAGCTGCACCCAGAAACTCACAGGAAGAGTTAAGAAGACATTTATCTCTTAGGCTGCAAGTGATTCACAAAAATCATTGGGATGCAACTGGAAAATGCCAGGGGTCAGAACACAGTCCAGCTTTCAAAATCCCAACCATGCTGGGAGACCAGTGTCTGGGCTGGCCAGGAGATGGGCTGCAAGAGGAGCTGCCCAGCATCTCTTTCCTCTGCAGAGTCTGTGGCAGCTCTCAGCTGCTCTCTCCAGGGCCCCAGCCCAAAGGAACGCCCCAGGAACTGGAGCTCCCACCCTGTCACTCCCCAGGTGACCAGCAAGTTCCCAAGCTCTGCTCTCATGGAGGCAGGACACCAAGTGCTGCAGCCTCACCTGCCTGTGCCACACCTGGCTAGAGATCACCCCAATCCTGCTGGAGCAGCTGAGCCTCCTGCGGCCTCTGCAGCACCAAGTGCAAGGGGAAGGATGCAGCTCCCTGCTTCTCCAGCTGTGAGAAGGAAGGCTGGTTCCTCCATCCTGCTGCCAGATTGTGCTCCACACTGGGGCACAAGGCAGATTCACCCCCAGGAGGGTGACACTGAGGGGGACAGGGTGCTTAGGTGGAGTCAGAGAGAACCGACTCATTATCCAAACACACCCCATCCTAAGGCTGGGAGCTCCTGTGCACCCCACAGGGGTTTATCCCCTCAGAGTGAGCAGTAGTAAATCTGGAGTTCTCCCTGAAGAGTTGCAGAGAGGGAGATGAAGTCTGTTGTGAAGAAAAATAACTCCCTACAAGATGAGAACCCACATGTGGCTGCAATTTAGGAAGCACTGTCCTGAAGTCCACCTTCTCCTGGGTTTTGCCAGTGGATCCACATCAGATTCTGACCACCCAGCTCCTGCCACCCCAGCACTGCTGCTCCAAGGGGCACTCTGTCAGCGCCAGATGCCAGCTGAGGATCCACGCTGCTCCCACAGGGTGCAGGTGTCCCTCCTGCATGCTGGCCTGCGGTGGGAGCGGTTTGGTAGCGCGGGTGCTGGGCACAAGTCAGGTATATGGTCTGTGAGAAACACCTGACAGAGGAGGACCTGGGTCAGTACTTTCCAAGGAAGCCTCAGAGGAGCAATGCTGGAAGCACAGAGTGCTGGGGCAGCAGGGCTGGAAGGCTCACAGAGCTGTGGGACAATGAGGACAAATCCCCAGCCCCAAGGATGGGGCAGGCTTACCCCTAGCCTGGCACTGGGCTGGAGGAAGAGGAGGGTGAGGAAGGCTGGTCCCAAACCTGGGGAGCAGAGCCAGCAGCTTCCAGGTCCTGTGTCCTTGGCCCACTTCTAGCACGAGGCAGGAGGAGTGATCATCTCACCCTTCTCCTTCCCACATGCTGGGAGCGGCTGCTGTTACTCCTGGCCATCGATGATGTTTGTGGTGTCAGAGGAGCCTCTGCTGAGGGCTGGCCCATGAAATATGCATGGCATGGCCTCTCCTTCTAACTGCACCTCCTCCCGTGCCAAATTCCCTCCTCAACTATTTGTCTCACATTCAAATGTTTCTTCACATTTAACGGCTTCCCAAGCCCTCCATAACAGCTTCTCCTGGATTTATTCCCATTGCTGCCACAATGAGTGGCCGAGGAAGGACTTGGCTGCGTGTTACCCAGCCTCAGCCATGCTCCTCGTGCGGGATGCAGCAGCATGGCTGTGTCTGTGATGCGTGCTCCAGCCATGGGCTGCACTGAGCTCCCCACGCCAGCTGCAGCCACCGGGAGCAGGGACCAGCCCCTCTGTGCCAGCAGCCCCTGCCTGCCCATGCTGGGAACAGGGACAGTGGCCTCAAAGGCATGATGTCACACCCAAGGGAGACTGGGAGCTGGGGGATCAGCACTCTGCAAGGCCACGGTGATCCACAAGGGCTTGGTACAGTCCCCACGGCAGCCTGGGGCATCCCTTGTTGGTCTCCCTGCCACTGGCAGGGCTGCCAGCTCGAGGATTTTCTCTGCTTCAAGTACCACCATCCTGAGAGAAACCTCATCAGATTTCACTTCCATCAAAAGCGGCTTTTTAACATTTCATCTCTGAGTTTGGGTCTGAGACTAAAGTTTCTTCAGAAACTCAGACCTGGTTCTGCACCCAGCTGGATGCTGCAGGGCTGCAGCTCTGCTGGCACAGCAGGCAGCACTTGGAAGCTTTCCCTGCTAAGACCAGGCAAGTGTTTCCCAGGGGTGATTGGTGCCATTAGAGCCTTCAAAGGGAATTTTCTCTGTGGCAGTTGGCGGAGAAACAAGGTTTGAACAGCATCCCAAGAATTCGTATGTGCAGTCTCATCATGGCGAGGAACTTTGGGTAAATTATTATTATCTCTAAATGGCACAAAAGAGTTAGCACAGGGAATGTTTTGAAGGAAGTGGATGCTTTGCCAGAGCTTTGTACCCAGCTCTGTCAGAGGCAATGCCACTGCCTGGCTGTCTCCGTGGAAGGACAAGATGTTCCCAAAAAAACCTTACAAATGAGCTCAGGGGATCCCCGTGGTTTCACTGCCGGTTACAGCAATGTCAGTGTTGGGGAGGCAGGGAAAACAATTGCAGGAACTAATTTTCCCGTGTCCTGCATGCGCTGAGCATTCCCAGCACAAGATGTCACTGAGGAGCTGGATTTGGACAGCCCTGCATCAGCCCGGAGTCATCCCCCGGGAGCCACAGGAAACGGGGCTGGAGAGGTGGGCATGGAGAAGGAACATGGTCACAGAGAGAGGACGTGGGCACAGAGAAGGGACACCGGCACAGAATCACAGAATCACAGAATAATGAGGTTGGAAGAGACCTCTAAGATCATCAAGTCCAACCGATGCCCTAACACCACAACTAGACTATAGCACCAAGTGCCAAGTCCAGTCTTTTTTTAAACATATCCAGAGATGGTGACTCCACCACCTCCCTGGGCAGACCATTCCAGTACTTTATTATTCTTTTGGTGAAAATTTTTTCCTAATATCCAACCTAAACCTTTCCTGACGTAGCTTGAGACTGTGTCCTCTTGTTCTGTCAGTGCTGACTGGGGGAAGAGACCGACCCCCACCTGTCTGCAGCTCCCTTCAGGGAGTTGTAGAGAGCAATAAGGTCACCTCTAAGCCTCCTCTTCTCCAGGCTAAACAATCCCAGTTCCTTCAAACGTTCCTCACAGGGTTTGTGTTCCCAGCCCCTCTCCAGCCTCGTTGCCTCCTCTGGATGCGCTCGGGTGTCTCAACGTCCATCCCAAACTGAGGGGCCAGAACTGGACACAGCACTCAAGGTGTGGCCTCACCAGTGCCGAGTACAGGGGAAGGATGACCCCCCCTAGTTCTGCTGGTCACACCATTGCTGATACAGGCCAGGAGCCATTGGCCTTTTTGGCCACCAGGGCACACTGCTGGCTCATGTTTAGTTGGCTGTCGACCAGTGCCCCCAGGTCCCTTTCTGCCTGGACACTGTCCAGCCTGTAATGTTGCAGGGGGTTATTGTGGCCAAAATGCAGGACTCAACACTTGGATTTATTAAACATCATCTTATTGGACTCTGCCCGTCCCTCCAACTGATCTAAGTCTCTCTGCAGAGCCCTCCTACCTTCCAACAGATGGACACACGCTCCCAGCTTAGTGTCATCTGCAGATTTACTAATGAAGGACTCGATGCCCTCATCCATGTGGTCAATAAAAACATGGAACAGAGCTGGCCCAGCACAGAGCCCTGAGGGACACCACTGGTGCCTGTCCCCAGCTGGATGCAGCACTGCTCACCACTCTCTGGGCCGGCCATGCAGCCAGTTCTGAGCCCAGCACAGAGCGCTCCTGGCCCAGCCGTGGGCTGCAGCTTTTCCAGGAGTGCTGTGGGAAACAGTGCCAAAGGCCTTGCTGGAGTCCAGACACATCCACAGCCTGTCCCGCATCCACCGGAGGCTCACCTGGTCATGAAAGGAGACCAGGTTGGTCAAACACGACCTACCCCTCCTAAACCCCTGCTGGCTGGGTCTGATACCCTGGCCATCCTTAAGTGCTGTGTGACAGCACTAAGTATGAACTGTTCCATTATCTTACCTGGTACTGAGGTCAGGCTAACTGGCCTGTAATTAGCAGGATCCTCCTTCCTACCTTTTTTGTAAATGGGTGTCACATTGGCCAGTTTCCAATAGTCTGGGACCTCACCAGTGAGCCACGACTCCTGATAAATGATGGAGAGCAGCTTCGCAAGCACATCTGCCAGCTCCCTCATCACCCTGGGGTGGATTCCATCTGGTCCCATTGATTTATAAATATCCAAGTGTCCCAGTAGTTCTCTGACTGCCTCTTCTTGGATAACAAGAGGACCATTCTGCTCCCTGGCATCACCTACCAACCCCTGAGGACAGTTGTCTTGAGGACAAGCTGTCTTACCACTAAAGAATGAGGCGAAGATAGCATTAAGCATTTTTGCCTTTTCCTCATCTTTAGTTACTAGGTTGCCTGCCACATCCACTAAGGAACAGAGATCGGTTATACCCTTCCTTTTACTATTCATATATTTGTAAAAACTTTTTTTTTATTTTTAACAGAAGTTGCCAAGTTGAGTTCAAACTGGCCTCCCTGATGTATGAACATATGCAGCTGTGATGCAGCTGTGAAACAATCCTGCAAGGCCAAGACTCAGGAGATTCCTGGACATGGGGTGTCAGGGATGTGCTCAGCAATCTCTGGAGCTCAGCACTGGGTGTGTCAGGAGGAACAGCTCAGACAAACGCCTCCCAGGAGCAGGACAGGAACTTGTCCTGCCTGGGAAGATCCCAAGGTCCTGCCAGCCCTCTCCAGTGCTCCGCAGAGCTCAACAGCCCCAGCCCATGACAAGGGAGCTAAGTCTGCTGCCTCAAGTAACCCAAGCACCCATGGACCCCACCAAATGAGTGAGGATTCAGCTGAAACCCCTAAAATGTTCACAAACACATCAGGAGGATAGAAGTACAGGGTCTTGAAACATCTCTCCCATAACAGGTCCTGCAGGTCTGAGATCCTTCTCCAAGTGTTTCCAGCTCCACAGGCTGGACATATCACAGCCTGCCCCAGGGATGGCTACAAGGGAGCAAGCATCCTTTGAATCATCCTTTGGCCCTCCCTAGGGCTCCCTGAGCACCCAGTAGCCCCCTGGCCCCTCAGGGTTGGCCCCAGTGCTCCCCACAGGTCCCATTCAGGGCTCCCTTGAGACCTTCATAATTTTCCCAACGGCTCCTCCAAGGGCATGAGGTCCTCTTTGCCCCGCTCCCAGCACTGCTCCAAGAGTTTCCCTCAGGCCCCACCCAAGGCTCCCCTCGAGCCGCGCCTGCCCCTTTCTGGGGCTTCCAGGGAGGGAGGCGCCCCTGGGACTGGCTGCTTCAAGAGGATGGGAACGGGGAAGGCAGCGGGCAGTGGGCTGCGCTGGGCAGGGTGGCTCCAGTCCCGGTGCTGGCCCCGGTGAGCTTGCCACTCCTGCTTCCTATCCCCGTCCCGGTACCTATCCCAGCACTGGTCTCGGTGCTGGTCCCAGTCCCTGTCCAGGTCTGTGTCCTGGTGCCGCTTCCGGCTTCGGTTCCAGTGCCGGTCTCCGTGCCGGTCCCGTTCCCAGTTCCGCTGCCGGTGTCAGTCCCGGAATCAGTCCCAGTCCCGGTTCCCATCCCCGTGGCGGTGCCTGTCTCGGTGTCAGTGCCAGTCCCGGAATCAGTCCCAGTCCCGGTTCCCATCCCCGTGGCGGTGCCTGTCTCGGTGTCAGTGCCAGTCCCGTTCCCAGTCCAGCCGCCGGGCCCGGTGCCAATCCCAGAACCAGTCGCGGTCTCGGTCGCCGTCCCGGCGGCGGTGTCGGTGCCGGGGCAGCGCCGGGGCGCGGGGCCGGTTCCGGCGGCAGCAGAGCGCGGCCCGAGGCGGGGCGGAGCGGGGCCGCGGAGCCGGGGGCCCGGGGGCGGTCCCGCGCGGGCCGTACTTAAGGCGGCGGCGGGCGGCGGCCCCGCCGTGCCCATGGCTCTCCCGAGCGCCGCCCGGGCGCTCCACGCCGCCGCTCGCCGGTGCGATGCCCCGAGCCGCCCGCGCTCCCAGCCCGCCGCCGCCCCCCGCGGGCTCTCCCCGGCGGCGGCGGGCGCGGGACCCCGGCCCGGGCCGCCCCCTTCCCCGCGGGGCGCGGAGCGGGCCCCGCCGCCGCCCGCCGTGGATTTCGGGGACTCACGCGAGGCGTTCCGCAGCAAGAGCAACGCGGAGCTGCTGCGGGGGCTGGTGGTGCTGGGGCTGTGCGCCATGGAGCCGCTGGTGCAGCACAACCGGGAGGTGCGTGGAGGGAGTCTGGCTTGGGGGGGGCTGCTCCGGGGCGGGGCTTGTCCCCGTTCGAGGGGTCACGGGCTCTGGACCCGCAGGGCTCTCCCTCAGGGCCGCCCGCTCCGGGAGGTGTCTGTCCCCTGCTGGAGGGGGTTCTTGCTCCGAGGAGTTCCATTCTGGGACTGCGAGTCCCAGGATGGGGAGTGCCCGCTCCGGACGTGTCGGTGCGGGATGGGGGTTCACTCCAGGGGTGACTGCTCCAAATAGGGGGATCTTTCGTGCCGGGACAGTGTTCTGCAGGATGTTGGTGCGTGCTAGGGATACTCTCACTCCGGGGGGTGCCGGTCCTGGACTGGGGGGGCTCTCATCCTAGGGGTGCCCATTTCGGGACGTGTCATTCCCTTTCCAGGGGGACTCTCGGTCGGAGCGTGCGCGTGTTGGGGAGCTCCCGGACCCGGGCCGGCGGGTTGCTCCTTTTGGGGAATGCCAGTCCTGGGTCGTGGGGACTTTTCCTACGGGAGTGCCCGTGCGGGACAGGTGCTGACCCGCCGCTGTCCCGCAGCTGCTGCAGTTGTGCCAGCGGGTGCTGGGGCAGACGCTGTTCGAGCGGCTGATGAAGATGACGTTCTACGGGCAGTTCGTGGCCGGGGAGGACCAGGAGGCCATCAAGCCGCTGCTCCGGCGGAACCAGGCCTTCGGCGTGGGCGCCGTGCTGGATTACAGCGTGGAGGAGGACCTGGGCGACGGGCGGTGAGCGCGGGGCCGGGGCGGGCCCGGGCCGCGCTGCCATTGGCTGCGCCCGCCCAGCCCCCCGCTCCCATTGGCTGCGGGCCCGTGCGTCACGGCCTCGCCCCTCCGCGGCACCGCCCGCGCCGCACATGGCGGGGCCGTGAGCCGCAGCTGCGGAGCCGAGCCGAACCCCCGAGCACCCTCTGCAAGTGCTGGGTGCTGCCCTCCTGTCTGCTGCACCTCCTCTGCCCCCATCTGTTCCCTTGCACACACCAGAGTGCAATCCGTCCCCGGCGGAGCTGTACACCCCGAACACTTCTGCACACCCTGAGGGGGTTCCCACCTTTATTTTCCATCTCCTATGGGATACTAACCCCCCCACCCGCCCCATTCCATATTCCCTCTGTCAACCATCTCCTATTTTCCCTAACCCCCTGGGACTCTGTGTCCCCCCCCCCCCCCCCACTCCTCTGCACACAGACAGACAACACACAGCGGTGCTGTCACACCTGAAGTCCCCCTTCCCCCTCTCCCGCATCGGTATGCTGCCCCTCATCCCTGCTCCCGCCATGCCACACCATAGAAATGCTGCCTCACGCATTTTGGTGGACTCGGTGATCTTGGAGCTCTTTCACAATCTTAACAATTTCATGATTTCCACCCTCCACCATTTCCATCTCTCTCAAGCTGGAGTGGTGCCTCCCTTCCCGCACTGCCTCCCAATCCCAGGCAGCCTGCACTGCCTCCCGCCCTCTGCCAAGAGCTGGCACCAGCCCAAAGCTGCCGGTAACTTTCCATTAATCGGGCTCCAGTTCCGGTCAGTTGTGCTTTCAGGATCGATGGGCCGCTGGCCGGCACCCCACGGTCACGGGGGTGGGCGGTGTCCTCCCACCCGCGACAGGGGAGGCCCTTCCCGAGGACACTGGCTGAGGATGCCGCGCCCCCGGGCAAGGCTGCAGAGCGGCAGTCGCTGCTGGCAGCTGGGGACACCGGCCGTTTGTATATGCTTGTCACGCCGTGCCAAAAACACAGCGGGAACGGCTTTTTGGGATGGTTTGCGAGCAGGCTGGGAGTCAGGCTGGTGTTCAGGTGCTGCCGCTGGGAGCCTTATCTCTGGTGCACACCCGGAAACTGCTTATCGGGGATCCCCATGTGCCCTGGCTGCTGCCGCCACTGCCGCTGTTATGCATCTCCAGGAGTGGAGGGTCTGCGTGTCCGTGATGGCAGCAGACGCTGGCGAGGGCAGTGCGGGGCGAGGCACGGCTGCACCATCCCAGAGTGGGCTGCAAACTTTGGGGTTTTTCTAGAAAATCTTCAAAACACCCCACTGCTGCCAGGCAAGGGATGCCTGTTTTGATGGTGTGTAGCTGAGTGTTTCTCCCCTGGACACACAGCCACAGTCCGGGCTGTGTTCAGCATTCCCGTGGGGCTGAGCCAGCAGCACTGCTTCTGCCAGGCTGTCACTGCTGCCCTGCATGCCTGGCTGTGCCTGGGCCAAGGGCTTTCCTGTGAGGGATCACAGAAGACTTTCAGACAGGCTCTGCCTGCAGCTATATCCCTCCTGCTGATGGGTGCTGGTGGTTTGTGAGCTGGCTGGGCTGTGCTGCCGATTTGGGGTTTGCACATGTGGTACTCCTGGCTAGGTGCGCTCTGCCTGTGCTGTGTGGGCCATTCACGTCCAAGAGACTTCCCAAGGCATCCCTGCCCAAGCCCCAGTGGGATTTGCCTGGATATGAGGAAAAGGGTATTCACCCAGAGGATGGTCAGGCACTGAACAGGCTCTCCAGGGAGTGGTCATGGTCCCAAGGCTAAGGAGTGTTTGGACAGTTGAGCACAGGGTGGGATTGTTGTCCTCTCCAGAGCTAGGAGTGGAACTTGATGTCTTCATTCATCCCTTCCACTTCAGGATGTTCTATAATTCTCTGAACAGGGACCAAGCCCAGGATGGGATTGGATGGGTTATGAATGGTGTCCCTTACCAACCGTCACTCAGGGTTCTCCCTGGTTCTGTTTGGGGTAAAATCCCAAATTCTCAGTGCTTCTGCCAGGGCTGGTGCTGAGTTGGGCTGCACATGGTTGAGAGGGGTGGGCAGTCCTGGGTTCATGGCTGCTGGACCCCAGAGCTGTGTTCTTCCCTTGGGTGAATGCTTTGGGATTGTGCTGCTGCCAGCCAGGAAGCAGAGTTACAAAGCACAGCAGGCAGTGAGTGTTTTGGCCTCTTGGTGCCATCTCCTGTTGTTCTTCTAGAGCAAGCCTGACATAACAGCAGGGAAATGCCCTCTCCCCCCAGCAATGGGCTATGGCACCTCTTCCACAGCCTTTCCAGATGGGAACAACAATGCAGCATGGGCAAGAACCAGCTTATCCTGCCTGCTGCAGGTCCCTGCCTGCCCTGCTCAGGCTGGCATCCAGGACTCTGCCAGCTTGTCCCAGGAGGCCTCAGCCACGTGCTGAAGGCTGCTGCCAGGTCATGGTGACACAGCTGGAAAATGTGTTCTCCAAGCAGCAGAGGTCTGGGGGCTCCAGCGTGGCTGCAGCCCTGGGTGGGGATGGAGAGGCGGTACTGGACAGGGGCTCCTGGTACCTGTGGGGTGAAGCAGCGAGACACCCCCCCCCCCCCCCCCCCCGCCCCCCCCCCCAGTGAAGGTGGTTGTAGCCTCCTGGCAGCCTTGGGGCCATTGCTGGTCCACAGGCATCCCAAGACTGCACATGGGTTGGGGTTGTGCTGACACAGGGGAGGGACGGGACAATCTGCCCCTAGCGTTGTTAGATGCTCTTCAGGCTCTGCCATGCTGAGTATGGACTGGGCTTCCTCTAGAAATTCCTTGTGTGGATATCTGACACCTGCCCCAGGGTGGGATCGCTGTCCCCAGCCTGGCCAATGCTGCTCCCAGAGCTGCCCCTCCCCTTCTCTTCCTGTTCCCAGTGCTCATTCCCAGCTGCCCTCCCTGCCCTGTGCTTTGTCAGCATGCTGCCTGGGATCATGGGGCAGCTTCTGTTTAGCTTGAAGTTCTCCAAGGAGGTCCTGGGCTGGTGCGTGCTGACAGCTCCTGCATGGAGCAGGTTGAAGGTCTATTCTGCCAAGAGCTTTGCTTTATTCCTACCTGTGGGATTTTAAGCACCACCCATAACTCCAAAATGGACTTCATGTAACCATGAGTCTTTTCCTTAGATGTAGTAATTCAAGGACAGCTTCTCCCTGATCCCTCATCCCCTTTGCCAGACCCATTTGCTGATGAGCAAAGCAAACACACTGTGCTCCTGGCACCCTCCGGGTAACCTGCAGGGCCAAAGGGATTATTTCCGACAGCGGGACCTTTGTGCTGCTCCTGAGCTGATTTACTTAGCCTGTCAGCTGGCCTACCCTTCCCAGCCATCCAGCAAGTCCTCACAACCTGCTTTAGGCAAGTGTGAGCTCCCAGGCCCTGAACTCAGCCTTGAGGTTGTTCCAGTCTGGATACAGCCTGCCAGGAGCGTCTGGACAGTGCCTGGAGATGGGACCTGCTCTGGGAGACTAGTGGGTTTGTAGAAGGGATGATCAGGTATAAGCTGATAGTAGTGGCACTTGGTGGGTGAGGGAATGGCTTTGCTGGCCAATATTAATATTGCAAAGTGAGCAGCTGATACCCAGGACAAAGTTATTGCTTCAGCTGGAAGGATCTTCCTTTATTTTTCTTAATGCAGAAGAACAAAGTAAGCACCATGGCACTGCTTTGAATGCCCCCCTAGAGGATGAAGGAACAGCTGGTGCAGTCATGCAGCAGAAACGCTGCTGGGAATGGTGTGTTTATCTTCAGGAACACAAAACACTCTAACTCCAAGGGCAAAGTTTGCTATTTGAGCTGTGTGTCTT